GAAAAGTGCAGGCAATTTATCTATAATCTCTTCATATGAAAGTTAAGTGCAACGAACCGAGACGAAAGTGCCCATTAGTAAAGTTCCCGTCCCCTACACAAAAAAGTACAGTATTGATTCATTTCCACAATCATAAAATAGGTCACTTAAAACATGAGGTTCTCTCTGTCTATTTGACCACAATTGGATAGGAACTCACAAAAAAGTTTGTGTGCTGGAGATATCCACTCCGAAACCTTGTTTGGAACAAAATGCACCCGGAAAAAGTGGAAAGATTTGTTTTTAATTGGAAAGTGGAAAATCGACGAAGACCACTGTATGGACTAGCTAAAAGGGATCGAAATTGTATGTAGGGAGTGGACTATATATGTCAAGATCGTCTGGAGGAATTACGGGACCTAATCTTACTAAAGTTCTTCCCAGCTTCAATTTAAGACAAATTTGACATTACAGAAAAAACCTTACAAATATAAATGGGTCACTCTGATCAAACCATTTCTTATAAAATTGAAGTCTCTTAATTTTCGTTATCCCGCCTAAGTGTTGTTTTTCTGCATTCAATACAACTAAATTGAAGTCCAAATTAAAACTGCCCATTACTAAAACATCTATCAACAATTTTCTATGATACATATTTCTAAAAGGTAAAGATTATGTGTAAATATAGCCTCGGATATTATGTCATTTCTGCTTTTCTACACATACATAACACTTTACGTCATTTTGTTGACTTCTATTCCAGAATTGGTAATATGCGATATATACAGTCTATGTATCCGCAAGTGACACTTGGGCAGCACATTCGCACGCGTCTCTGTTATCTTTTCAGTGCAAATTGATTGATAGCTGCGTGCGTAGATGCGAGCATGCAGGAACACGATAATTCTTCACCTCAGTATCATGAAGTTAATGTGCATTTTGTAGAGAAATAGACGTATATAACTAAGGTCTCTAATTTCTAATTTTTAAGCTGCATATATTTAGGAGCATTCCAAAACTCTTTTCTATGTGAATATGAGATGAATCAAAGCCAAAATCTATACTAATAACGACGATATTTTGGAAATTATTTCAGTTCGTAGCTCGTTTTTCTCTTTCCCATATTCTCTCTCAGTTCTAAAAAACAACAGCATTAGGATAAAAAAGATAGATTTACTATTTCTGAGGACGTAAGTAATTAAGCGCTGGAATTCTTAATAAGAACTAACATGCTATTAAGGAACTCTTTTAGTATGGCCCAACTATTTGCACTATTGATTATTAGTTAATTGACTGTTACAGATAACCTTACCGACGTCAAAAACTTTGCCCTTTAAACTGGCGCATTTAAAATAGAAGTTTAAACTGTAAGATTTATGGACGCCGATCAAGAGAATGTACGGAAAAAATATGTGATACGATTTGAACAGCTGATAAGGCGACATTTCGCGATGCATGGTCGGACAAAACAATCCGATAAGAAATTTTGTTTGGGTGAACATAACTGGAATAGACTCTTTACGTTTTTAGTGATACCGTCAATTGTCATCAAAGACTCTTAGGGGACTGAAATGCCCATGATAAGTGAATGCGAGAAATGAAGAAATCAGGAATTAATCTTAGTCGCATACTTCTAAAGACTTCAAGGTCAATAGTGAAGCATTAGCCATTCGGAATTTCTAAAACCAGTTTAGTCCCGCTTAACTACCCCTGTTCGCAGAGATCTTATCTGACCTCATAGATAAGATCTGTACGGGACACGGTTCTCACATTTCTAGTAAAATAACAAGTTTACCATAATCATGCTAATGCCTAAATTCTGTATGTCCTTTTTATGTCGGAAAGAAAAGTGGAAAGGTTGAAAATGGCCGATTCTAGAACTACGGGTTCAACCTCATCTGTCCCCCCAACTTGCAGGGGATTTTCAGTCCCAGTTTTTTTCTTCAAAGCTTTTGCTCAAGTCATCTAGATGTCTTTGCTGATTCAGTAATTAGGACTACGATAATCTGCGTGGCCACCACCGATCTGCCTTTCAATGACTTTCGAGCAAAATTGTAGGTATTAATGAAATGACTTACGGTCCCGCTGTCCCTGGCTTTCCTCGTGGTCCTGCTGGTCCTGCAAAGAAGTTTCTTGGTTTGAAGTTTATGT